ACAAGTTAAGTTGAACTGTAGAACAAGTGAGGGCGGCTAAGATCTGGAACCAACTTCCAAGCCATGTCTCAGCTGTACAGAGACTGCTCCCTGCTCCCAGATGACCATGAGTGACAGGAAGAACCATCAGTCACCATACACTTAGTGCCACTTAGCCCCTCCATTCCATGGACTAGCACAGATAATGAAGCAGAGGAGGTAGAGGGTCAGGAAGAAACCCATGCAGCCAATACATCACCTACTGTTACCAAGACCCAAGAACATACTGGACCTGGTAAGTCTCTTGTAATGTACTGCTTGCCACTGTCAGGCAACACCCGGGTTTGTGCTGGTTGGGTTTGGGGGGCCGGGAGGGGAGGGGGGAGAAATTCATGTGTTGCTGTAGGTGGGTTGCCATGTTCTTTCAGTAGTGGTGCATAATGGGTTCAATACCTCGTAATGTAACAGCAAACTAATTATTTGCTTTAATTTTTTTTTTCAGATAGTACAGGCAGTGGCAGCTGTGGACCTGTTTCCAAAACAAGTACTTGTAAGTTTTGGACAATACGAGTGGCGCCCCACTGTTGTAGGGTCTGTGTCTGTGCCTGCCGGCATTTTGTGCACTGCATGGTGGGGGGGTGTACTTGCCTCCTCTTGAGGGGAAGAAAAATTGCTTTTTCTTTGTTTATCAGCCACTGTGACCCTTAGCCACTGGGAACAGCACCCTGCTTGCACTACAGCAGAGCGCTACAGAGATTTTCACAGCAAGCAGAGACGGTCCCATGAAACCTTGCTCGAGGTTTTGGCTGAGTCCTCAGTAGCCAGGGCAGAGCATGCAGATGCCTTGCAAGACAAACTCCATGAGTCACTGCATAAGAAGGATGCCGTCCTTGAGGAAGTGTGACACACCATGCGGAATTTGAAAGATGTGGTCAATGAGTCCTGTGTTGAATTACAAAGGTCACAGGACACTTTCAGTGATATCTTTCAGAGTCTACAGAAGTGCCTAAATAAATGTACAGTGCCCAAAAGGGAAAAGTCGGTCCACTCATCTTGCTTCTGTGCAAGATGAGAGGAGAATTACAGCCAAGCCTGTTCCCCCTAACTCATTAGGGTCATAGGAGGGCTGTATGACTGCTAGCAGAGCCAGGAGGGCACCACTGAGTTTCAAGGAGACATGGTGGGGTGAAGGCAAAGAAGCACAAGCGAACTATAATAGTGTGTTACAAACAATAAAACCTCATGGTTTCCTGACTTCCTGTGTCTGCCTCCATATCCACCTTTACACTGCTTGGTTGCGAAGGTGGATTTCATTCATTGTTTAGGTTCATTTCTCTCTGTTCATTTTTCCTGCTGCTTGCTGCATGGTGCTCGGGAGAGGGGTTGGCAATCTCACTTGCACAGGTAGACAGGGGGGGTCCAGAGGTAAACAAGGGGGGCTGCCTGGGTAGGTTGCAACACACAAGTGCTGGCCTGCACACCAGCATTTTGCAAAGGCAGCACCCACTGCAAAGTCACTTTTGAGGTAAAACCTTAATTTTACCTCCCTTAGTTGGGAGTCACCCCCCCACCCAGCAACCTGGCTTGCTTTTTTGCAAGCCACCAGCCACTTTGCAAAGTCGCCCACAGGGGCTCATACCTTCCCAGGCTCTTTGGCTCACCCTTCACAACCCTTCCTTGCATTTTCCCTAGGCGTAAACTTTGAAAATGCACTTTTCCAGCCAGGTGCTAGGCACTGTCTCCTTTGTTTTGGAACACCAAAGTGAAGCTGTGGGTGGGGTGGCGGCATGGGGTTTAAGACTTGCATTGCTTGCACACAAACCCATGGAATTTGCAAGCATTTCCACCTTCTTTTTTTGCGCTTTTTTCCAGCCAGTGCCAGAGTGTCTGGTTTTTTTTCACACCAAAACGAGGCAGCTGGTGGGTGGGGGGGGTTGCCCCACTGAAGGACTATAAATTGGGGGAGCAGAAGTGGGGATGCGCATTCACTGTATTGACAAGAGAGGTTTGAGGCAGGTGCAGGATGACAGTACAGCGGCAGCAGAGAAGGACTCATCCCAGTCACGAGATTTGCCCCTAGGGGACACAGCAATGCAAATCCAGGGTTCAAGAAGACCGCAGGCTGATCAAGTGGGGTGCAATGAAGCTTTGAGTGCTATTTGATGTCCACACCTCTGCAACGTGTGACTTGAAAGAGGACATGGCAATGTGCTACACACCACCTTAGTGACACCTGACACTTGTCTGTGCCCTGAGGGTGGCAGGGTTGTCCCTAGGGGGGCATGAATACAAGCGACCGCCCCAGGCACAGTGCTCTGGGGGCCCCACAGAGATGCATGGAGTAGATAGGGTCACTCCTCAGTGCCACTGCTGGCACCACATCCAGACACTCACCAACTCCCCTTCCCTGCTGCCACTGCCATGGCACACAGGATCAGCTCTGCGTGGGGGTGTTAATTAGCCCAAGGCCCTGCACCAGTGGTGTACCATGGGTCTCTGGGGCCCAGGGGACAAGCCCAGGTTGCCACCACCCTCATTCCTACGTGCCCCAAACAAGCCACTTTCTGTAGTGGTTTCGACGGCAGGGGGAAAGCAGGGTGAGCAGTGCAGAGTGGTGGTGCCCCCTTCACATCTGTGCCTGGGACAGCCACCCAGCCCGCCGCTGTCAGTACACCAGTGGCCTGCACCCTGATAGAGTCATCTCTGGTTTGGGGAAATGCATTGTTTAGTTCAAATTTATTGTAAACGGGGCTGATGGAATTTTATGGGCATGAAGGAAGGTATGCAAGGTGCACAAGAGGCACCAATACAAATTCTGATGCTCTTTCTTACCCTCCCTCTCTCTGGTTTTTAGATCCCCTTCCACTGCTAGCCACAGGCTGATCAATCTCTGTTGGTGTGACAAAAGACAGAAAGAGAAAGGAAGAAAGAGAAGATGAAGAGGATGACAACACTCAGAATTCTCTCAACAACTGAACTATTATGCATTATAATTATAGTTGACTTTCATCCTGACTTATGTAGACTTATAATAACAAGTAATACTAATAATAGGAGTCATTTATACTATTAATTCCAATAGTAATATATTAATACGAGTTTGTAAATAATAATATTAAAGATGATTTATTAAAGTTCAATAATAATTGTAATGGTTCAATTCCTTATCAAAGCATTTCAAAGCAGGTAGATCTACCTTATCACCCCCCAGCTGTCTCTTGCAGCACATATACCACACATCCTGGGCACACATCACACACATATATATAGCCAATGTATGATATAGACTTATGTCATATAGACATAATTACAGTTTGATTCCTTATGATGAGAAAGCATATAGTGAGCATAAGGCAGGTGATTACATGCCCTCCTTGCCTCTTTCCCCATGGAGGGGGAAATGCCCGCCTCCTGGTTCAAGCTCCTCCCTAGGTCCCTCTATTCCTGTCTCTGGGCCTTCTGGCTTGTGGAAAAGTACCGAATTCTGAGCCTGATTCTGCACCAGGAAGAGGGCAAGGCTTTCTTCTCACCCTCCTCCTTGGTTGCTAGCCAGGCCACAAATGCAGCTGAGGCTAGTTTCAATAGTACACTATGCAGTATAAAGTGTATCATCGAGGGGACTCATGTTCATTGAGTGACAGTCCCCTCACTAGCCTACTATCAAGTGACTGTTGCTGTAAATAAGCAAGTAAAGAAATCTGTAATGAATGCGTACTAAAATAAATACGTACATTATTAAGAATTGTGAATTATGAATTGCCTTTATACACTTTACTATTTGAATTATTTATGGCCACTGGTACTGCTAGGGCTTCTCTTCTGTCTACTTGAATTGTTGCGCAAGTTTTATAGGTCCATTTTGTATAATTCTCACCCTCCTCCTGGTTGCCGACCACAAGTACTGCTGAGGCTTCTCTTCTGTGTACTACTTGAATTGTGGAGGCTTTCTTCATAGGCTTTGGCCTGAGCATCAGCTCGAGTAAGGTAAGAGTTGGACAAGTTCTGCAGATCCATTTGATATTATTTTAGCCCTCCTCCTGGTTGTTGGCCTTGTTTGATAATCAGTGTATTATGGAATTGTAATTAGAGGTTTGTTGCTGGCCACAAATGCAGAGGATTTCTTCTTTGTTGCTGGGCAAGACCTCCAGCAAATTCCTTCCCAGGGTCCAGGTAGTAGACCAGGCCTGAGGGCTCTTCACCCCACTCACTTACCTCTGCCTTACACCTCTCCGTTGCACCCTTGTAACTTGGGAATCATTGCAGACCACAAAGGAAGCTGCACTCCTGAACTATGACCACTGCAGTGGCAGAAGCTGAGGCTTGAGTTTCTTTTCTGAATTGTGGAGGTTTTCTTATTGGTTGCTGGCCAAGACCTCTGGGGTCCAGGTAGTAGGGTCTTCAACCCACTCACACACCTCTGCCTTACACCTCTCCATTGCACCCTTGTAACTTTGGAATCATTGCTGGCCACAAAGGAAGCTAAGCTTTCTTCACTGACTTTGGCCGGAACATCAGCTCAAGTTGCACAAATTCTGCAAGCCCATTTCATAGTCTTCTCACCCTCCTCCTGGTTACTGGCCATGTCCCAGCAAATTCTGACTGGGATACATGTCTTGTGACACCCACCCACCCACCACTCTGTCTCCTTGAGGTTTTTGTCTCCTTGAGTTTCTTCTTTGACTTGTGGAAGGAAGGAAGATTTTAAATAAATAAGGATAACAGAAAGTAGTTTAAATAACAGAACATAGTTTAAATAAATAAAGTTAACAGCAAGTAGAAAGTCCCCCCCACCCCACTTGAGGGGGCCTCTCCCTCCCTACCTAAGCTTTGTGTCCAGCAAAGATTCCAAAGTTACAATGTAACAGAGATTAGCATGGCCCAGCTCAGCCAACCAGCTGAAATGGGCCAGCCAGTCATACATCTCCACCTGAGGGGGCCCCTAGGGGACCATGCCTGGGTCCCCCCAGCCTTGATCCATCTGTCTTCCTGCTGGGACATGGTCAGTAACCAGGAAGGGGTGCAGGATGCCTGCCTCCCTCCCTCCCTCTCCCCACCCCCACCCACTCAACCAGCTTCTGATGGAGAACATTGTAATGCATTGCTAAAGTCTTTATAGAGTTGCTAAAGGCCCTGGGAGGTCCATGCTTGCTGCTGGGGGTGGGTGGGTTTGTTTAGTCTTCTTTCTTGCAAGAAATGCTGGCTATATGCTAGCACTGCCCAAGCATTTGACCTCCCTCCATCTGATCCACCCTGCAACTTTCCAGGAATGC